ACAAGAAAAAATCAAGTCAACAAGAAGTCGGGGAAGTATCAATGAGACATTTCAGAGCAGAATAAGTTATTTTGAACCAAAAACACCAGGTGAGTGAGTTCATTGTGCACCCAACACTCGCCCCCTCCACCCCTGTTCATCCACCAGCCCAGCCTTCATAATCCATCCAGCAGTATGCATCAACCACCATCGAATTCACTCGGCCTACCACACAAACAAACACAAAAGCCTACAAACAAAGAGACCTTCAACACAGAAAAAATGTCTAACTATCCAAGTGACCAACTAACTGCCGATGACAGTCAACCACATTTCATGCAATCACAGCAAACTCGCCGAATTCAAACGAGAAATGCTCGCGGTGATACACTTACGCCGACACATCACACCACATCACGACACAGGGCCACACAACACGCAACAACACTACACTACACAACACAACACATTCACTGAAAATCCCTAGTCAACATCATTCATCATACAGGTTTGATAATTCCGCTAAATCCTTCCAACAATTCCGCATCACTCACAACGTAATATTCCCTTATACCACTCTATATCTCTCTATTTCTGTCTCTCTGCCGCACTCACTCTCCCTCTTACTCCACAGAAACACCACAAGAAAAAATCAAGTCAACAAGAAGTCGGGGAAGTATCAATGAGACATTTCAGAGCAGAATAAGTTATTTTGAACCAAAAACACCAGGTGAGTGAGTTCATTGTGCACCCAACACTCGCCCCCTCCACCCCTGTTCATCCACCAGCCCAGCCTTCATAATCCATCCAGCAGTATGCATCAACCACCATCGAATTCACTCGGCCTACCACACAAACAAACACAAAAGCCTACAAACAAAGAGACCTTCAACACAGAAAAAATGTCTAACTATCCAAGTGACCAACTAACTGCCGATGACAGTCAACCACATTTCATGCAATCACAGCAAACTCGCCGAATTCAAACGAGAAATGCTCGCGGTGATACACTTACGCCGACACATCACACCACATCACGACACAGGGCCACACAACACGCAACAACACTACACTACACAACACAACACATTCACTGAAAATCCCTAGTCAACATCATTCATCATACAGGTTTGATAATTCCGCTAAATCCTTCCAACAATTCCGCATCACTCACAACGTAATATTCCCTTATACCACTCTATATCTCTCTATTTCTGTCTCTCTGCCGCACTCACTCTCCCTCTTACTCCACAGAAACACCACAAGAAAAAATCAAGTCAACAAGAAGTCGGGGAAGTATCAATGAGACATTTCAGAGCAGAATAAGTTATTTTGAACCAAAAACACCAGGTGAGTGAGTTCATTGTGCACCCAACACTCGCCCCCTCCACCCCTGTTCATCCACCAGCCCAGCCTTCATAATCCATCCAGCAGTATGCATCAACCACCATCGAATTCACTCGGCCTACCACACAAACAAACACAAAAGCCTACAAACAAAGAGACCTTCAACACAGAAAAAATGTCTAACTATCCAAGTGACCAACTAACTGCCGATGACAGTCAACCACATTTCATGCAATCACAGCAAACTCGCCGAATTCAAACGAGAAATGCTCGCGGTGATACACTTACGCCGACACATCACACCACATCACGACACAGGGCCACACAACACGCAACAACACTACACTACACAACACAACACATTCACTGAAAATCCCTAGTCAACATCATTCATCATACAGGTTTGATAATTCCGCTAAATCCTTCCAACAATTCCGCATCACTCACAACGTAATATTCCCTTATACCACTCTATATCTCTCTATTTCTGTCTCTCTGCCGCACTCACTCTCCCTCTTACTCCACAGAAACACCACAAGAAAAAATCAAGTCAACAAGAAGTCGGGGAAGTATCAATGAGACATTTCAGAGCAGAATAAGTTATTTTGAACCAAAAACACCAGGTGAGTGAGTTCATTGTGCACCCAACACTCGCCCCCTCCACCCCTGTTCATCCACCAGCCCAGCCTTCATAATCCATCCAGCAGTATGCATCAACCACCATCGAATTCACTCGGCCTACCACACAAACAAACACAAAAGCCTACAAACAAAGAGACCTTCAACACAGAAAAAATGTCTAACTATCCAAGTGACCAACTAACTGCCGATGACAGTCAACCACATTTCATGCAATCACAGCAAACTCGCCGAATTCAAACGAGAAATGCTCGCGGTGATACACTTACGCCGACACATCACACCACATCACGACACAGGGCCACACAACACGCAACAACACTACACTACACAACACAACACATTCACTGAAAATCCCTAGTCAACATCATTCATCATACAGGTTTGATAATTCCGCTAAATCCTTCCAACAATTCCGCATCACTCACAACGTAATATTCCCTTATACCACTCTATATCTCTCTATTTCTGTCTCTCTGCCGCACTCACTCTCCCTCTTACTCCACAGAAACACCACAAGAAAAAATCAAGTCAACAAGAAGTCGGGGAAGTATCAATGAGACATTTCAGAGCAGAATAAGTTATTTTGAACCAAAAACACCAGGTGAGTGAGTTCATTGTGCACCCAACACTCGCCCCCTCCACCCCTGTTCATCCACCAGCCCAGCCTTCATAATCCATCCAGCAGTATGCATCAACCACCATCGAATTCACTCGGCCTACCACACAAACAAACACAAAAGCCTACAAACAAAGAGACCTTCAACACAGAAAAAATGTCTAACTATCCAAGTGACCAACTAACTGCCGATGACAGTCAACCACATTTCATGCAATCACAGCAAACTCGCCGAATTCAAACGAGAAATGCTCGCGGTGATACACTTACGCCGACACATCACACCACATCACGACACAGGGCCACACAACACGCAACAACACTACACTACACAACACAACACATTCACTGAAAATCCCTAGTCAACATCATTCATCATACAGGTTTGATAATTCCGCTAAATCCTTCCAACAATTCCGCATCACTCACAACGTAATATTCCCTTATACCACTCTATATCTCTCTATTTCTGTCTCTCTGCCGCACTCACTCTCCCTCTTACTCCACAGAAACACCACAAGAAAAAATCAAGTCAACAAGAAGTCGGGGAAGTATCAATGAGACATTTCAGAGCAGAATAAGTTATTTTGAACCAAAAACACCAGGTGAGTGAGTTCATTGTGCACCCAACACTCGCCCCCTCCACCCCTGTTCATCCACCAGCCCAGCCTTCATAATCCATCCAGCAGTATGCATCAACCACCATCGAATTCACTCGGCCTACCACACAAACAAACACAAAAGCCTACAAACAAAGAGACCTTCAACACAGAAAAAATGTCTAACTATCCAAGTGACCAACTAACTGCCGATGACAGTCAACCACATTTCATGCAATCACAGCAAACTCGCCGAATTCAAACGAGAAATGCTCGCGGTGATACACTTACGCCGACACATCACACCACATCACGACACAGGGCCACACAACACGCAACAACACTACACTACACAACACAACACATTCACTGAAAATCCCTAGTCAACATCATTCATCATACAGGTTTGATAATTCCGCTAAATCCTTCCAACAATTCCGCATCACTCACAACGTAATATTCCCTTATACCACTCTATATCTCTCTATTTCTGTCTCTCTGCCGCACTCACTCTCCCTCTTACTCCACAGAAACACCACAAGAAAAAAGCAAGTCAACAAGACTTCGGGGAAATATCAGTGAGAAACTGCAGAACAGAACAAGATTTTTTGAACCAAAAACACCAGGTGAGTGAGTTCATTGTGCACCCAACACTCGCCCCCTCCACCCCTGTTCATCCACCAGCCCAGCCTTCATAATCCATCCAGCAGTATGCATCAACCACCATCGAATTCACTCGGCCTATCACAGAAACTTTCTTTATAAGTTTTTGCCTTCAGTTTTTATTCGTTCTTTTTCGTTAATATAGGTATATTTTTATATTTTTGTTTGCCTTTTCTCTTAGTCCTTTGATAAGCATTTTTTTCATTTCCGAAATTTTTTTTTCACATTTTTTTTTCATTTGTTTTATATATATATATATTTGTTCATCTTTTTACGTATTCTTTCATGTCACTTCACTGATTGGTTTTGAGTCGTTTTTGTTGTAGTTTACTATAGAACATTTTGTTTGATTGAAGGATGAAATGGAGTATGAATCGGTTTTTATTTGTTGAAATAACTTCTTCGCCACTCTGTTTTTATCAACCTCCTCTGTGATTTGATTTTTGGCGTTCTCTATGTTGACAATATCGAAGGTTATCTCTAGTGTTTTGCAGGTTAAGAGCATTCTTCACAGCCTTTATGAGATTTCTTTTACACTAAACCTATTTCTCACTAACTCAGAGACACTCTGAATCACTCATTGATAATATCTGATGTCGGTGATTTAGGAAATTTTTTCATTTCCTCCTTTTGCAGTGAAATTCTTTGTGTTTTCTGTGAGTGAGCGATTTCAGTGTTGCTTCAGAATAATCACCCACTGTCGCGGTAAATTCCATTGCTGGTACTGGCTCTCACATAACTTCATTTACTGAGACGTACTCATTCGCCCACTGTCATACCCCGCATGATCTGGGTCATTTTTATTTAGAATTCTATGTGGTTAGTTATCATCGTTAGATAGATTTATCTCGTTGTGTAATATGCAGGCTTATTTCTCATTGAGAAGGAAGGATTCAAAACTTACTTTTATCTTATTTGTTTTGAATTCTGTGTAGAAGATTTTCTCCAATGTTTCATGCAATGATTGTACGCATGGAGATGCGTAATATGTTGAGACTGAGCGTAGGTTTCTGTTGCTTGAAGTATATGCTTGTAACACTCTATGGAACTTCACTCATTGCCGTTACAACTAATGCATAGAATAATTCCTGAAGTTATATTTTCCTTCGTTTCCGCGAACAGCCCACCGGTAGTAGAGAAAGTCAACAAAAAACATGCGTAAGAGCGTTTTGCGAATCCAGGACATAAGTGATTGGTTGAGATAATAAGAATTAGACAAATTCATTGTGTTGGGTGGAATTTCATGCAGGCCAGTGATTCATTCGAGCCACCAAATTTGATGGCCATTATCTACTCTCATTCATGTGCATTTTACTTTTTTATTATTTATTTATTTATTATTACCTTGCTATCCGAGTGGAACATAGGGCTTCAACAACACGTCTCCACTTCTGTTCACGATTGAACAAACTCTCTCATCTCTTCTCCACACCATCTCATCCATGTCACCCAAGGAAGACCCACTCATCGCTTGCTATTTGGATTCCACTCGAGCACTGGCCTGACACGCGATGTCACTTGACGGCGTCGTCAATGTATGCCCTATCACTCTCCAATTTCTCTTACATATTTGTTGCTCAGTCGGATCTTGGTTGGTTAGTTCCTGTAGTTTCTTGTTGCTTATTCTTTCTGACCAATAATTTGATCGTCAGTATGAAGTGAATGCAGCTATTGATGAAAGTATTCAACCTGTTGGAAGTATTTTTCGTGACACTCCGGCCAGGTTTTTGACCCCTATAGGAGGACTGACTTCACACTGGTTTTTAAAATGCGAGTCTTGTTCCTTATGCTGACTACAGAATATTTCCAAACTTGATTCAGGTTGATGGAGGCGTATCTTGTCTTTCCAATTCTAACTGTAGTTGAAACGATGCTTCCCAGATGAGTGAAGGAGTCAGGCTCTGTTACAACTATCCTATTGATGATGATTGGTGCTGGTTGGTGTTGCTGTTATCTGGTTATCTTCATCACCTCCATCTTCTCTGTGTTCACCTGCAGTCCTGTTTCCGCTGCCTGACAGTTTGTTGGTTTTCACCTGTTAGTCTGCGAATTCATGTTACATGAGACATATATCATCTGCGAAATCCTGATTTTCCAAAGTCTTCTTAATGGTGTTCCAACATATTTCTGTCTACTCTTTCACTCCCATGCACAGTCTGACGCATAATCCAGCCCACCACAATTAAGAATACCATTGGTGATAACAAGAATCCAGCTTATCCTACTCCTCGCTGCACTTCGAACACCTCGCTGAGTTTTCGTTATACATCACTAGACACGTGGCATTGTCATATAGCCAGCCGTTGAATGAGGTTGACAAACAATTGAGGTACGCCGTAGTGCTGAAGTAATTTCCAAATTACTTCTCGGTCAACGCTGTTGAAGGCCTTTTCGAAGTTGATGAAGTTGATGTAGAGTGGGGTTTGATTACCGTCCTATGCTTTGTTCGATGACGATGTGTAGAGTCCCAATTCAATCAGCACATGATTTACCTTTCCTGAATCCAGCCTGTTCTGGGCGGTGGGCGGAGTTCTGTATTCAGTACATCCTTTATTCTCTCCAGGATGATGTGAATTAGTATTTTACTTGGTGTAGACAAGAGCATTATTCCACATCAGTTCTTGCAGAGTGAGACATTAGTCGCCCTTCTTTGGCAGTTTGACGAGGTATCCCTTCTTCCAATAAGTAGGCACCTTTCCTTCTTTCTAAACTTTTTGCAGTAATGGAGTGAGGACATCTACTGAAGTCTCTGAGGCCTTCTTTAATGCTTCGGAAAGAATGTCGTATGGTCCTGCTGCCTTCCTGAACTTCAGCAGCTTGATCGAATTCAGGATTTCTTCTTTCCTTGAAGTAGTGGTATCCATTGGCATTTCCATGTGGGCTGTTGGTTGCATTTCTGGGCGAGTTACAGGTGGTGGTCGATTCAGGAGTTGGCCCATTTAAAGTGGTCAGCCCATTGTTTGATTTGTTTCTCCTCCTTGATGACCAGGTTCTCTTAAGCATCTTTTATTAATTTCATCATCTTGGTCGATCTCTTCCTGGATAGCGATTTGATTATCTGATGTAATGTCCTGATGTCTCTTTTGCCTGCGGCTTGTTCCTCTAGTGTGTCGTAGAATAGTTGTTTGTCTTTTCTGGCGCTCTTCTTTACTTCTTTATTCAGTGCAATGTACACTGCGCTCAGTTTCTTCTTCTCGTGTCCATCTTTGCATTGAGTCATCTCTTTCTTCATCATCCTCTCCTCGATAAGCTTCCAGGTATCCGTTACAGCCATTTTTCTCTTGTCTCTTCCTTCTTCCTATGACAGTTGAACACGTTTCTTTAAATATCGCTTTCAGAGAGTTCCAATGTTCTTCCACACATGTTTCCTCAGTGATGCCATGTAGTGTCTCCGACTTTGCTGTGATCTGATCTGTAGTGAAGTCATCCCTTGTAGTTTTGTCATTCACTTTCCGAATATTGAACTTGAATTACAGTGGCCAGTCTCCAGTTTTTCTGAAGGATTTCAGCTTCACCTTTAAGGTTCCTTGAACCAGATGATGGTATGAACCCATATGTGCTCCCCATCTCGAATTTGTGTCCAGCATGGTGGCTGCGTTTCCACTTCCACGAGCAGAATTGAGATGAAGTGTTTCGGGTTTGTTTTGTGCACAACAGGCGTAATCCATGCTACTTTGCGTATGTCCTTGCGCTTGTACACACTTCCTCTGATCACGAAATCAGTGAAAGTGCAGACGTCAGCGAATGGTTCTCCGTCCTCATTCATATCTCCGACAGCCTCTCAACTCATGATGAGTTCTCTCCCCGTATTATTTGCTCCAAGTTCGACTGGCATTCAAATCGCCATTAAGGATAATGATGTCACTATTTGGGATGCTGTTCATTACTAAGAGGAGTTGTATGTAAAAGTCTTCTTTCTTCTCTGTTTCCACATTTTTTGTAGCACTGTGCTTAGCATTAGATAATTGCTACCTTCCTTTCTTTGGAATCGAATATTGCTGGCATGATCCTGGATGATATTGGTTTGCACTACACTAAGGCTTTGGCTGCCACTGGCGACATCATTATAGCCACCAATCATCCCATTGTGTTCGTGGTTGTCGTGTGGGTGATCAGATCGGAGTAGGTAACTGACCTTTCGGTTGACAATGTTGTCAATCCACATCCATTCCATCTGCTTTCCCAGATACCCAGTTCTTCTAAGACATATCTTGGCATCTATTAGGCGACCTAGGCAGCCTTCCTAGTCTCGTACATTGTACTAACATTCCACGTAACTATTGTTACTCTTGCTTTTAGCGACAGAAGACACATCGGCTGGCTGACTGACTTCTCGCGTCATTTGGCCTCTGCGATTCGAGCGAAGAATAAGATTTTTTCTTGAAGTTTTTGTATTTCTTAATATATTTTCCCTGTGTTGAAGTTTCTCTAGCGGTTTGAAATATTCAGTAGTGTCGGTTGCTAGCCCCACGCCGAATTCTCCCTCTTAAGCCGGGCCTGAGACCAGCTAGAAAACTAGCGATCTTTTTATACTAACTTGTTTTACCATTCAGTGCAATTTTTAGATATTTTTTGATTGGTGAGCTTTTTCTTAACAGCATTTACTTGAATCTCTTTTGAGCCGTTGTCTTCCATTTTGTTTTCAGATGGCGAAAACAAGTTAATTACTTACTGTGAGAGTTCGGTACATTTTTTTACAGTTATCTTCTTTGCCATGCAATAGGCTTTTTACTGACAGACTATTAATAGCTACTGGAGACGGTTTTGTAGAATATCTCTTTTGCGTTTTACAAAAAGTATGTTCGATCCTTAATGGTGTAGTAGAAGGTTAGCTTCATTCCCAATCCACTGTCCGTTTTCCAGCATGATTTTGATCTACCTGTTGTTTAGTTTTCGTTCACAGTGTCCTGTCACAACATCTTGCTACGTATACCCCATCTTCTACTTCTAGCGGTAACAGGCCTCAGTTTACAATGGACTCGTTGTAAAGACATTTCGATGTATTCAAATGATTGTCTATAGTACATGTGAAGCTTCAATTTCCCTCGAACTACAGCATACATTGTTAACATTGCAGCATACTGATTATCATTTACTCAGGACAACATCATTCCACTACAGAAAATCAATACCACAAAAATTATCCTCAGAGGTGTAGGTATCTTCTGACAAAATTGGATAAGCAAGAGCAAATTTATTTCTAAGTAGTAGAATGCATCAATAGATGAGCGTAACTTTTGATTAGTGTAATTTTTATTGTGTGTTTGTGGATTTCAGAAATAGCTGAATCCTCTATTTATCTGATTTCTTATATACAAGATAATTTAATTTGTGTGTGTGTGTGTTTGACTTGGTAAATGAAGGGTTTAATAGCTCGAGGGAAATATTTTCTCTGTTTCAGATGATCTGAATTCAACACTGGACGCATACGCAGATTCATACCGTGAAGCTGCGCATGATAAATGTATGTGATTATTTCACCGGAAATCATTACATGTTTGTCTCTTTACTTTAGACTGTTCTATAACGATCAGTGACCACATTCTCTTGCTACTTATATCGCTTGCCTTGATTTGTAGACGGCCAATCAACCAATTCAATTACTGGAAACACTGTGTAGCTTTTAGAAATATCTTCTACAGCTACACATCTCCTTGTAAATTCGGGGAGATATATTTGTCATGTCAACAGATGTATGTAATGTCACCTAAATGTAATAACATGGAAATCATTCTTGTAAAGTAGAACAGGAAACTGTTGCTTAAACGTGAGTGATATCGCTTCATCAATTTCAAGAAACTTGAAATTTTATATGCATGTGAATATAAGAGACTGAGATGAGTTGAATAGCAGTTGCAGAGTAACTATGATGAGTCCAAATGGCTTAATCACTTGGTAATGGTTACCAGCGGATTGTGCGAGAATTATTTACATTTATCTGGAAGTGTGTCGATAATGCACGCAGGACAGGCACACTACATGAACAATTAGTTACACAAAGGCAGACTGCATGTTGCCTACATGTTGACATTTATTCTGTCAGAACTTTTATTCAAGCATTAAACAATCCACATACTTAGGACTTATTTCCACCCGTTTGTCTGTTTTAGTTCTCATGATTGAAATTCAGACATATAAAGATCCCCAGAATGTCGAAGGAACAATAAAACCTGGTGAGTAATTTTATCAAGATCTCTACATGGCTTCGTTTAAACAACAATGAACGAATTATTCTCATTTTGAGTCATAAGAAATAGACATAAAGAACGAAGAAAATTTTCTCCTCAACGATTCATTTTCATAAGCTGTACGATGGTAATTATATTTAACAAAGGAATCATAAGACCAATGGGATACTGATAAAATTTGTCTTCTTCTAGTTTACACATTGCATTACGTATTACCACTATTCAAGGACAAATTGTACCAGTTTCTGGTCGGTCTTATGATTTCCTTGTTAAATATAATTACAGCTTATGAACAGAATCGTGGAAAAGACATTTTTTACTAGCCTTTTATGTCTTTTTCGAATAAAAGTCAGGCATGAATATATGGTCAAGTTTTTTTTCGATCAATAGTTTATTTCATATTTCATGCATTCCAATGAATCAAAGATGCACACTTGTGATGCTTTTGAGGATGACTGAGTATCTCGTTTGTTTGTTATCATGTGATGAAGATGAAATGTACCTCTTGGTCTATTCGTGATAACATCTATGGTAACAGAACAACGCTGACTGATTCTAATGTTTGAAATAACGTCTGTCTAGGGTGTGGCAGGAAACCTTTTGTATCACCCACCTTCCTATCCATAATATTGCGCGAACTGCCATCGCTGTCTGGTGATTCAAAGCAGGTTACTGAAACCCATGAGCTCACTTGTGGGTGTAGCTGAAGATTCTCTTTATAAATGGGATACTGGTGGAAGCGGTTTTGTCTGGAAATGAGTTCAGAGACTTATTGTTGTCTACTGCTCTCCTAGCCGTTCTCAGTTTCTTTTTCAGAATATTATTATTACTCTCCAGAGTTCCAAGTGGAAAATAAGACCTCAACTGCACATCTCCACACTATCCTCCTCTCTGCAGTGCATTGCTTGTACTCTTGCTTTTCTGACCTCATCTAACTGCAATGTCGTCACTTCTGCCACCACGTGTAGTTGAAATGGTGCTGCCTGGATATGTATAAGAAATGACTCCCCTCATATTTCTGCCGTTGCTGTTTGTTGGTTGGTAGGTTAGTTGTGTTCAATGCTTCTATTTTCTCTATGCTCACCTGAAGACTTGTCTTCGCTGGCTGATTCTTCTGCGAAAGTGTTCATCGTCACCTGCAGATCTTCGAATTCGTGTGATATTATAAATAAGTGGTCGACGAAGTACAGAGATTCCTGAGTCTGCTTGTTGCACCAACGTATGATCGTCTTCTTGCTGCTCACGGTCTCTCACACGACACTGTCGCCTAAGACCAGGAGTACCATTTGCGATCAGCCTCATTGAGATTTCCGCTGAGGATCTCTTGGCATTTGACATCTTCACGTAGCTGTTCGGAGCATCACACTCTATCGTTTCCAATGCTGTCGTAGGACTTTTCAGAAATAGATATTTCATTACAATCCTGTGCCCTCTTCGATGATGAGGTAAAGCGTTGTGATTTGATCCATACATGAATTGCTTTTCTTGAATCCAGCTTGTTATTTGGCGATTTTCGCATTCATAGCATCATTAAGTCTCTCCAGGATGACACCAGCCAGTATTTTACTTGAACTGGGCGGGAGCATTATTCCCCTTTCAATTCTTGCAGAGGAATAAGTCATCTTTCTCTGATGGTTTGACAAGGTAGCCTATCCTTTCAACCAGCCTGAAATGTAATACACTAGAGGCGTGAGTATATCCAATTAGTTGTTTTCGATGGATTTCCATCTGGTTATGTCACCTTCCCGACTTTTACTAACATTATGGTATTCAAAACGTTTGATACTTTGAATGGACACTAATAACTAGTATGATGTGTGTAGTAGAGTGAATTCTGTCAGTCACGTTTATAATGTGGCCACCATTCTAGGTATCTCGCCATCACAATGCACATTGATTTGATGATATTAGATGGTTGGAGGCAATCGTCAGGAAAGCTTGGACCTAGGTTTTGTGCATGTTGGCACTCACCAGTCAGCAAGGCGTATCTCCAATCAGCTTGACGGAACTCATATCCCTTCTGAGATTCAAACCCGCTTCCCTCAGTGCTGCAGTCAGAGACGTTACCACTGAGCTGTTCAGGCTCACGATTGACATCATGTAGGGCTGCAGTGGATACTTTGATTGGACACTGGTTACTAGTTCAGCAGGACTGGGTGACGCGGGTTTGAATCTTAGAAGGGATATGAGATCCTTCAAGCTGGTTGCAGAAAGGCCTTGCCGACTGGTGAGTTGCAACAAGCACGAAACCTAGATGGAAGGCTTCCTGACGATTGCTTCCAACCATCTAATATCTTCGTAACGTTTGCTTTTGTTGGAGAATTGGTATTCACTGCGATTACTGTGCTTGCTGTTGATGGTATTTCCGGACAGTTTGTAGGTCGTGACCTGTTTTGAGAGTTTTCGTCGTTTCTCGCCTTTCCTATCTACCCTCTTTAGTATTCGTTTCTTAGAGGATACCTACATGTGACACTGATGCAGTAATCTGAGGTCTCTCTTCCTGCGACATATTCCGCTTCATTTACTAATCTATCACGTCTGATTCTCTTATCGATTTTATGTCCAGAATGCCTAATCATCACATTCCTGAGATTGAGATAAGGATCATCTGATATTTGGTGTGTCCAAGTGATGAAACATATGTCATTTCGTGAACTTTGTATTGCTACTTGCAGTGAACGACTGAGTGAAGGCAGAGAAGTATGCGAAGGGTCCACCGTCCTCATTTTTTCCACCCACAACCTCTTGATCTATGAAGGATCGCCTTTCATTCTTGTTTGCTTCCATTTCCGCATTCTGATGTTGCTATTTGGCTTAGTGCGCACTACGGCTCGCAGTTGTCTGTGGAATTCTTCCTTCCCCTCTTGGTCTAGGTGGCTGGTAGAAGCACGGCACTGGAATCCGGTTTGTTTTAATTGTATGTGTTGAGTGTCAGTGAGTGGATGAAACCTACTTTTAATCGAGTGTCAGAACGAGTAAACAATTTAAACTGTCTCAGCTGGAGGAATGTGGGACATTGAAGTGTTACCAGAATCTGCGAAGGGAAATCATTGTACATTTATTCCCTATAATTAATTTTAATAAAGGCTGTATGCATCTGATCACAAGCTAACGAAATAAATGATGGTGCCATTTTATTCTGCAAAAACTTTTTTTCTTGCTTTCTTCGAAATCCTTGTACTCAGACAATGTTAAGAGATAATGCATAGTGGGACATGATTGCCAAAATGCCGCCAAAACAAAGTTCCTTGTCTTATGTTGAACACAAAAATTGAAGCGAATAACTGGAAAACGAATAAACAAAGTATCAGATGCATGTTAAGAACGACATTTGAGTTTATGAATGGTCGGGTGGATATCTTTTGATTCACAAAACTCTTGGTTCATTCTACCGAACCTCATGCATTCTAGCGCCTACTTCTTTGGTAACTTTAACAGTAGCCAGCCTATCCATGCATGGCATATTCCCTGAAAATTGCAGTCATTTGTCAGGTTATTATTCTGCCATCATCAATTAACGGATGCTCAAACATGCAAGACTTTCATCATTCAATGGTTTCAAAGGACAGATCATGGGCATGGAATTTCCCCTACTTGTGATTTCAAGCTGAATACTCCAAGATGAAAGATTAACAAATAAGATAGACGTAAGTGTGTTGTCGACTGTTCTGGGTTACTCACAGTGCATAACACAACAAACTTCAACATGCAAGAGCAAGGAACAACTAGGAAGCGCTTTGTTAACTTGAGCATAAGAAAGTGCAGATTTACAGACATGAACGTTAAATGGAGAATAAGAAATACATGTTCAGCATCATTTCGCTAGTCAAAATTGTCATTTAGACATTTGGAAAACAGAAAGAATGAGCGAAGAAATATTTACTTTTCAAATAGATCCTCATCTGTGGCTCTACACTAACATATACATAGCATTTTTATTAAAATACATAACAATTTACCAATCAAATGGTAATGAGATGATGATCTAACTGAAAACTGAATATGTCTTCGCCAAATCTTTCTGTTTTCTAAAAGTCAAAATTCTCATTAAAATACCCTGTGTCAACCAACATTACGGCACGCCGTACTTTTGTGTTTTTTCCACTTTAAACAGAAATCCTGAGACTTGAGCACTTATATCAAAGTAAATGGGCGAAGGAATTTCTCGAATGTAAGTCCTGTCATTCACGCATTCGATTGTTTGACATTCCTGAAATGATCCGTGTGTTTAATAAAGGCGTGAATTTTCAGTGAATTTAAATATGTTGGATTGCTAATTGAAATGAATTGCAGTGTCATTGGAAATGATCAAAGAATTCAATTATTAGACAAATAAATTACCAAAAAGTGTATTTCGGAGAGTGGTTTCCAGGTGTCAGTAGCACAGAAAATTCTTTCAACAAACAGTCTGCAACATTTTATGGAGAAACTTCGAGTTGAGGAATGAATTTCATGTGCACATTTTGCAAATTATTCCAGTACACATCTTTTCTAAACGCATAGCATTAAATACTGAATTATAACATAAATGGTGGCTACATTGATTCATTTGCAAAATGAATACTGTTGATTCACCTTTCAATATTCTTTTCAAAGCAGAGAAAGTATAGTCTGACGGATAAGTTATATAACGCCTCAAACAAGTTGCCATGTACTTAGCATAAAAACAAACAGCTTCTGTGTTTCGCTTTGCTTTATTGTACTTTTCATGTCTGAAAAACCCTCAGCATACATTTCAGGTTTTCTAACTGTCCTCTTATTACCATGCCTCCAAGTGCAAGTATATAATTTCCCAAAAATTATCTACACTTTTACAGCAATCGGTGCAGAAGATAAGAAGCTGGTGAATTTTTCTATTGGTGGGTTATTTCATCTTAAAATAATAAAAACAAAATGCATGTGACAAAACCATTTGGTTTCTGAAGACAAAAACACCATGTTACTGTTTGTGGAATGAACGTCAGCTTGAAATCATTTGGTATGATAGATGTCACCAGAGGTGTTTGTATTGATTTTTTTGACAAGCCTAACAAGTGAAGACGTTATCGCTCATCTATACGAATGCAATCTGGTCCATTTAATGAAGCATTGCCAAATTTCTCATCAATTCAATCACGAGTGACGTGGTATTCAGTAGTGAAACAATTTCCCCCATCATCCACTTTCTCTACAATGTCCTCTTCAACATTGGCTTGTTCACTACATACATGATACAATGAAACAGCACGCATCATTGATAACATTCCGAATATAATTTATAAACCGTATATTTCTCAAGTTCATTAATACAACTTGGGAACTTTGATAACTTATTTATACTTTATTTTAATCAAATATCGAATGGTTGAATAAAACCACATTTATTCAATTACATTATGAAATTATTACTGTTATTCGTTCTCTGTCTTCCTGGATGAAACAATGAGATGCACATTTTCAAAGATGTTTTCGAATGTTTCAGTCCAGAACAATAACATAGGTATACCATTGGTGACGGCCTTGTCTTAACTTCAAGCGATTAACTGAACTTTCCATTGTGAGGTATTTCGCATATAGCGTAATCACATACCTGTTAAATGAGATGCATCAGAGTAAGGCAAACAAATTACCTTATAGGCAACTCTGTCGAAAGTCTTATCATATTCCGTGGGAATGCGTTAAACAGCTGACAGCCATTCTACCCTATGATTGATGGCGATCTGCAGTTGTACAGTGAGATTCGCTCATGATTTGTCTCCCATCAATCCAAACCGATCCCACATACAACATCCATCCATGATATCTGCTGAGAGAGATGTGCCTAACTATTCTATTTGAAATTGATTGTCCAATTGATACGAAAATTTAATAATGTACGTAACGTCATCTGTTTATAAATGAACTTAATTCACACTTTCCTACTATCAAAGTGTACAAATACACAGTTGGCTATTTGAGTAATTAAATATGCACCAAACAACGCTTCCTTTCTCTATAGATGAATACAGGAAGGCATTGGAAGAAGATGCCTCTTTCAATTACGCAGTTCTTGGTATGATTGGTTTTTTAACTAAAAGTTGTAATACTACTTAATCTAAAATTCATCGGTTCTCTGAAATTAGGCGACCAGTTCTGTGAAGAATGTACACAAGATTTTGCACTGGTGTTTTGTGTCAAGTCATTATTTCAATCTTCAATCATACTTCCTTTTCATTCACGTCAGTCGCACTTCTCTATCAAAACATTTTTGGGCGAAATTACCTGAGGATAAATCTGATCGCCGTCAAGATATCTCTTACTAAAGTAAACCGCTCTCTTATTTGTTCCTTATAGTGATTTGTTACTAAGATCCATTGTTCTAGTGATATTCAGATCTCCAGCTTATTTGTCTGTTGATTGATGGCATTATCGTTTCAACTGATGATTATTTTCATAGATTGTATATGTGTAGTCATATCGCTTCCTACTCCTACACAGAAAACTGGTCATACTCACAACTGTTGTACATGGCTTAGGTGAAATCAGTGATTGATACATGATATTACGCTGAAATCTGTTGGAGGCCTAAAACAGAGTCATACTAATGCATCTAGATAGATTACCACTGTCATCATGCAGGAGGAACATTTCACAGCTGAAAAAATCATGTAGTCCAGATCTTACAGAGCTTATGAGTAATAATTATACCTAGTGATTTTTCATTTATTCCTTCAGCTAATAAAGGATTCTACAATCAGACAAAAACGCATATTTCAAAGAAATGGGAAAATCGAAAAACTCTCGACATTGCAGAAGGTAAAATTTTTAAGATTCCACTATTTAGAAAGGCAGTAGGTTATTTGGTATTTTGTAAGAAAGCGAATGATGATATTTTGTAATTAGGTGAAGCGCGAAGAGCCACAAAAACTTCTCCTTTCCCCACAAGATTTACCACAACACATTGGAATGGCGATATGTCCTCTTAAAAATCACACCCATCAGTGTGTTACTGACTTAGCGAGAACAAAATTTGATACATCACTTATTGACAGTCTTTAATTAAATCTCGCATGAATTGTTGGCATTGTAGGTGAACACGATATTCTGTAGAAGTGTTCTGCACATTTCATCGGTTCCCCTCACTGAGTCATGTCCACGATAATGTGTATTGTGAGACTTCTTGAATATCGCGATTTTCTATTCAGCACTGACATTCACACTTGATAGAGAATGATGAGAATATCTGTGCGTAAACGTACCATACAAATAGCGGAGAGTAGTTCAGAGAATAAGCGATAGTAGGCAAATACCATACATGTATTCACTTCCTCATATTATTTCATTAGAATCACTCGAAAACCGAATCCTTTCCAACGGTATGTGAGTGAGAATACGCTTACTCGATGGTCCGATACCATTTTCTAATAAAGCTTTATACTTAATGAGCAAGTTAACTGTGCCGTCATTTGAATTGAAGTCAGCTGAACCCATCTTTAAGTAAATTGATTATGATAATGTTGGATTCATCGTATACCCGGAAGTTGAGTGACACTGTTATATATCAATTACAGGCAAACTTTTTGCACAGACATCAGGCAATCTGAACAAACACAAAGGTTAGTTTTTTACACTTTGAAATTCATCCTTCGTTACTTGTAAACTAGGCTGAAATATCTCTTCTGATTTTGTGAGTATTAGTTTCTCTGAAGTCATTAATACGCATATTCACAATTCCACTGAAATGCGGTGAAATTTATTTGTAATAAACCATATCTGAATATCCTTTGTGACAAACAGATGCAGCAGCTAGTTGATTGTTCGACTCAATTCTCGAGTTGTTTGAATTTGTGGAAAAGCTATTTCTATGCATCCGAACACGATATCTGCCCGAATTCACTGGGTATCAGCATACTGAGTAATGACACAAGTGGATTTCAATTGGAACTCTTTTCACAGAAGGATCATCTTGTTGAGTAATACGTGATGGAAATTATGACAATGAACACTGTTTTCCACATTTGATCACCAACAAGTACAAAGTGTATTACATGGTTTTATTATTCTTTTGTGTGGAATGCGTGTGTCCGTGTCAACATCTATGCCTCACATACTATGGTTAACCCAGAAATAATGGACAGAAATATGTTCACTGCGTGAACTGCCAGTGTAACGACAGAAGAAAAGAGACTTGATGAAGCAATGCTTATTCGGGATTTTGTATCTCCAGATCGCTAAATTATGTACAACTTATCTTCAAATAACCATTTTCACAGAGCTTCTGTGTTATTCTACTTCTCTCCCTAATATTATATTTCTTCATATTCGTATCATGTCTGTCATATTTTACCAAAACGCCGAATCATTTGCTTTCTTTGACGTATAATCCACCTCCCTGCTATTCGATGTTTTTATGTCGAAGAGCGTCTCTTTAAATTCCACTGACAAATCTAATCAGTATCAGACGCCACATCAGCCTTTAACACGCAAAAACTCCTCAAATTTTAGTATGTCCTTATAAATATAACTTGTAACTTGCGAAACCACTGACCTGATTACTCATTCAATGATTTGACAAATTATTCTATGCAAACAATTATTGTTCTATAATTGACAAGGAAAACGTCAAGCGAACTTTGAAGATGGGCACAAATGCAGTATAAATGCAGTTCACACCTAGTGAAAGTATTTGTTTTACTGATATCAGTAAACTACTCGAAATGTCATGTGGTAAGCTGCACATTACCAACGGGATAGCCGTGTATAGCGACAGTCAGTAGCCTTCGCGTTAATAGGATTATTTCACGTTACAGCGTACACATAAAACATTTCATACTTTTTGATATTGTGAAATTATAGTGCAAATTGAAATGATAAGGAAGGATGTTATGGAAGCAAAGGAAGCAGTGAAAACATCAAAAGGTAAAAAGATTCTGTAAATTCATATTGCACACTACGTTCATGAATAATAAACTGTTGGTATGAAAATTCACTAGTCATTTTCTTTAAAGTTAGTCATTAAGTGCCTTATGTACTCATCAATAACAGATCCATTAACTAGTTTTTATTAGATATACTTTTCATCACCAGTACAATTACATCTCAGAAATATTATGAAGACCAGTTTTATCAACCAATGAGTCGGCACACCTTTCGTGAGGAGTGGAGTAAACTTTTGAAAATTAAAATATTCAGTGTGTTGTGAGAAGAAACGTGTTGAGATATAATCAAATTATTAGGACACATTTTCGGATTGTCAGTGTATTCTATTCAGTATAATGACGAGTATGATATTGAAGTTTCTTGAATAACGTTTTAAATATCACACAACACTTCTTGTTTTCTTAGCTAAACTTAAAGCGCTGGAAACGGTAGCTCTCATCACATCTAATGCATACACAAGTACTTCAAGTGAGTGAATATATTTATCAATTTGATTAGCAGACTTTAAGGTGTAATCAAGACATGAACAGGACTAATATGATCAACCATTGTTTGAACTTGTTGATGATTATATCTGAAAAGTAGATGTATCTAATTAATCGTCAACAGAAAGACACCTGACGAACATTATTTACCACAACTAACCAGTAATTTCCACTCAACTGTACAAATGACGTGAAGCCAAGGTCGACTTCAACCCTGCTTTACTTTGGAAAGCAGACAGAAGAGTAGATAAGGCGTCTATCTTCTCAAAATATTGGCATAATAGTTATAACGAAGATGCCATTGACTGTAGAAGCGGAAAAGTTCACACTGTGGTAGGATATAATTGGATATTAGATTAGTTTCGTGAATATAACAAATATTGTCACAGTATTCAAAAACTGAATGACGTTTCTAGGACAATTTATCTCTCATAATCATATCATATGATTGTATTATTATTACTTAGCTTATTTGCGAAGTGTGCGGAGGGGAATATTCACAAATGGTGAGAAACAATTTCACCTTTTTTAAAATATTTTGAAGTTAAAAAGGCATTCATCATTATCTCCATGAGATTCATCTTTGACTGAAGATAGTCACATTTCTACAACAAGAAACTTCAGAACTGCATGTCTGCAAGAGAATGAGGTCATCATAATTGGATCAGTATGGCTAGGTTGGATTCACAAATAATGAAAACTTTCATCGCCAGCTAGCAAACATCGAATAAAGGATGAACAAATAAATACAGACAGAATATTACACGATATTTTTAACTGACAGTGACTCGTTCTTGAAGATGTCTGGTTCGATGATCATGTAGAGGTAAAGAAGACAGACCAATGAGACGATAAGTAAAAGTAAAAACTCACTCACTAATCGAAAATTCAATTCGCGCAAATTATTACACATGGCTCATTTCACATTGAATTTATTTGCATGAGGTATTTACCTTCAATATTGTCAAGTACTTATGAGATTATGAGTTTGATAAAGAGTCGTTATTCCTTTCAGACACATTGAATGATGCTCGAATTACGCAAGCGTATCGGAAGGCTCGTTCTGATTTTGCAGACGGCACAGGTAATTTTACATTGTTTTTCAAATTCGATCACATGTGATATTTCATAGTTATAGTGACGAATGCATTTCTCAGTGAATTTCATTTTTGCAAGCGACAGAAGTAACCTGTATGACTAATGATCTGTATATTATCAAGTTGTCGAATTCCCCAATTCCACATAAGGCTATATCATTGATAAAATTAGCAATATTACTTGTCACACTAATATCAGAATCTGTAAGTTGTTGGACACTCAGTCAGAATTCAGTCTGGAATTTCTATGCACAAAAGCATCGATTCTACTGCTCATATGGTGTTATTTTCAAATAATCGAGACACGCAAAACTATTCCGATAAAGCTTCAGTGACTTGATCAATGCATTATTGAATAAAGCCAAAAAAATGTATCATGTATATTGTTAAGTTCAGAATAACAGTTACATTGAGACTACATGTTATGATCAAGCATTGTGAGATTTAAGCTTCATTTCATATTGTTGCGGGGGAAATTAGAAAATGGCGCTTATTACTGAAAATCTATTCACTGTTTTAGATGAACTAGGGAACAAAATAAAACTACTGGAAATGAAGAGGATTGAATTTATGAAGTGTAAGTTGAAATATTGAGATGATTTACAACTGCTTAGTTCAAACCACAGAAAATAGAATAAACTGGCTCCTGGCTGAAATGAAGGAAGATGCCAAGCAGTTCTACTGAAGTAAGTTCCTCCTTAGATTCTTACAGTACTTTAAATTTCTAACTGACTGCACAAAAGAATGTGAACTTGAAGTTGGCTTAAGGTGTAAGCTGAAATCAGCTGGATGATTTTTTAAGAAACAAGTAACACTGAACTTCTCTTCACTCATATTTCCTGATCTCTAATCATGATTGATCTACAGGCTGATCGGTCACCTGATAACATTCGGTGGCTGTAGACAATATCAGGTTTGTAACAACTGCTGAGAACATTGTAAATTCAAATGGTGGTTTGCATAGCTGATTTCGTGTGAGGGGAATTGTAGCTTGGAATCAACCTGATAATGTACACACCTATCCTGTGTTTTAATCATCACTGGAAGTATAGCCTGAAGATTAGTGTAACTGTTGTTCGGATGAAAATTGTCGACTATAATTTTTTCTATACAAGATGCGTGTCTATTTTCATTTCAGTAGTTCTCTGCTTCTGGTTTCATTTTGTTTCAGCTGCAGAAAAGGGAATTCTGTTCCAAGGGAATTCAAACAATTTTGGATAGGGAAATACATTGTTTGCTTATCGCTTTTTGGATTAATTAAATATTATATTTTCCTTCGTAAGATTTTGTTTCAGTTGGCGTTTTCTGTCTATCTATTAGAATGAGTTATGTTAGAATGAAATAGGTAATTGCGAAAAATAGGCTAACTGCTCGTGTAAAACTCGAGGATTATTGTTTTGACTGACGAAGTGTATTCAGAAGGCTAGATGAAAAGACAACGAGAAAACCATATAGCACGTATATGCACAAATAGATCCAATCACCTCCATATTTTCAAGTGGTTTGCCATGCACATTTCGATGAAATTCGATACTTTAGGTGACCCATGATGATCTGGCTAAATGGAGATTGAAAGGGCATGGGTTGGTAGTCTGTAGGTTATTTCGCTTATCACACTATACAATATAATACATTGAATGGAAATTCTCAGTCACACTATGCGTCATTCGAATGCATCCATGTTATGAAGAAATATCACTGTCTGAGAATGACGGGATTAAAAGCTTCATCTTATATAAAATGTAAATAAGTCAACATTATGGTTTAAGTGTGCCACGGTGGCACAGCGGTTAGGACGCTCGCCAACCATGCACATTGTCCAGGGTTCCATCCCCGGCCGGCGCACTCCTTTATCCCGCTAAGACAGAAATAATGCTGGTGAAGAGGAATGGTTGCGCATGAGGCTAGCAACCGCATCCCGTAAAATAAACACTGCTAAAGAAACTTAAAGCTACTAGCTTGAAGCCCTATGTTCATCTGGGGAACGTGAAAAAAAAATGGTTTAAGAGCTCTTATTCCCACAATAATGAAATTCCTAATTATCGGAATGTGCTCAAAATGCCATTTAATATCAAAAGGTTAATCAAATCTCCCAGATGTTTTAAGTAGAACAGAGATTAACCTGAATGTTGTATATACTTAAATGTAGTCGAATTAAGGGAAAGATAGTGAAATGCGGACTCTGCTAACAATATTCTGAATGGTGAACATAAGACACAGATTTACCCATTACATCACAGCCCAATTGTATGGATGTCGCCTTCTACAAAATCGATTTATGGAATCGACAACTAGATGATGGACACATGAATGCATTGATAGGATTTTCAATTGTGAAACTCAACTCTCGTCTCTGCCAGTCAAAATCTCAATACACTTTGGCAGAATGATTTCCCTGGAAATCTTTCATGTCACAGGGTATGTTTCAGCGAGTTCATGCGTGTGTCTGTCTGGCTGTTTTTCTGTCTGTCTGTCTGTCTGTCTATCTATATGTGTGCGTGTGTGTGTTTGTTTGTGTAAGTAGTGTGATGATGAATTAGCCGAATTAATGAATGGATGAGTAGAGTGTTAATTGGATGATGATTTCAGGCAATATGCAAATAAGTCAATATTTACATGTCTTCATAGTCAAGTGATTGTTCAGTGCATGTTTTCCATCATCATTGTCATCATCAAATTGCTGATGTAGTTATCTGTGAGAGATTGACAGTTAGATAGAGAGAGAGAGAGCGAGATATAGAGCGAAAGAGCGAAAGAGAGAGAGCCGATAATGCTTTGAAGTGATGATGGAAGTTTACTTGTTCCCTTGGTTATCCTGGTGATGATGAAATGGTGTGCCTGTTTTCGGCGTAAATGTGTCTCTGATTGTCTTTGAATTGTATATGCGTAAGCCTTCAAATACTGATGGAAATATATTGGGACACGGTAAATATAAGTCAGGAGCCAGTGAGTCGAGCAGTCTGGCAGTCAGACAGTCAGCGCATAAACTGACAGCTTATGAGCAATGAAGTGAATGACAGTAGTGATCGAGTGACGACTGCCGGTACTGATTGAAGGAAGCATCGATTTCTGCCATTCAGGCCTGTATCACCACTGACCATTCCAAGGTAGGAGAATTTTGTGCGTGATGAAATAACATAACTCTATCTCTTGCTCGGTCTATCGCACCTTTCTCTATTCTCCAATCCGAATATGCGAACTAGTCTTCAGCATTCGCTACTGGAGAGACAGACTCCTTTGACTGTTGTATGTATTTTTTCAATAATCCTCCACGCAATCAAACAAAATCCCTACAAAACCAATACTTGAAAATAATATAATAATTCCCATTGTAGCATTAAGAACACAGTATTCAGCGAAGAGACTCTTTTCAACGAATTTATTATCAAGCTGTACAATCGTATATATATGGATTTTAAGAAATTATATCCGGTGAGGGAATTAGGTCAAAGGTGTGAATACATGAAATAATAATAGTATGAAATGCAATTAAAATATTTGTGATTTTAATAATAGTTTAATGTCAAGTGGCACAATAATTAATGTCGTATATAGAATAATACATAAGGTGTATAGATTTTGGAAAAGGGTACATAATTATAAGATTAGTAGACGAATATAAAATGTTACATAACATGGTATGAAATTTGATAAGACAGAATTCAATATTGTAAAAAATATAAAAATTAATAATTTTAGGTTTAAAATGTCAAGTGGGTCAAGTGAAAAAGATTCAGAGTGAGAATAGTAATAATAATAATAATGATAATAATACTACTAATAATAATAATAGTAATAAGGGAAGAGTACATAGAATAACTAAATAAACAAAATAAATAAATTCATGAATAATTCCCATTCGGACATTAGTAGACAAAAGACAATTAGTTCAGCAAAGAGTCTCTTTTTGGCGAATTCATTTTCAAAGCTGTACAATCGCAAATATATATGGTTATTTTGTGTGTGTGTGTGTGTATACATTAAATTTGTCAAACAAAATATGGTTAGTAAGTTCAAATGAATTGGATGTTGATAAGAGGATAGCAACAAAAGTGATGAGTTGTCAAAAACGATTGTTAAAGAGGAGTAAGTTCAGGTGAATTGGATGCTCATATAAGAGGGTAGTAACAAAAGTGATGAGTTGTCATAAATGATTGTTAAATAAGATTTACGTAATGCCATGAATACTTCGATGAATGAGTTGTACTCAAAGGGTGAGCATGGAAACAAGATAATATACAGAATTACACAAGGGTTTTAAGTTAGAAAAATAAGCATACAAACAGAAGTAAGGTCAAAACAAACAAACTCGAATCAACGGAGTTGTTACCATGCGAGTAGAAGTGGTTGGATAATTTTCTTTTGTATGCATAGTTCTGGTTCCACCAACTGGATGGCTAGGGCTTCTGCGATGCAAAGAAGATGAAATCGTACTGTCTTTGGGAGGTTGTTCTTCACTTTGTAGAACACTTTGAAGGAGGCGTTCGTTGAGATGGAATGATCAGTGTTGACTAGATGTTCGATTATTGCACTCCTTATATGGCGTGATGACGGATCCCTCACAGGATCTATCCACCGGAAACGTACATGGAACGGACAACTAACTAATTTTTACAGTTGGGTGCCTATCTCCAGGGAAAGGAACTTAATTCATTTGCTTTGCTATAGGATAAGGAAAATTTGTAGTTCTGATTCCATTGACTCGGAACTTGACTTCTCAAAAGCCACTCTGGCAGAAGCTCTATTTTGGAACACCTGATCGACTTCTGTCACTCTGTTAACCCTGACCATGATTTTAAGATCATATATATAATCCATGCTAACTTCCCGCGTTGTATTCGTTACAGACTTCTAAAGACAGCTGAGGCCTTGGCAATTCATGACTTTAAGCCAGACCTTTGTGTACAAAAGAAGTATGTACAATCCCTACTTCTGCCTTGGCCGTAGAGGGATAGACATTTATTTATTTTGTTTATTTAGTTATTCTATGTACTCTTCCCTTATTACTATTATTATTATTATTTTAATATTATTATCATTATTATTATTATTACTATTCTCACTCTGAATCTTTTTCACTTGACCCACTTGACATTTTAAACCTAAAATTATTAATTTTTATATTTTTTACAATATTGAATTCTGTCTTATCAAATTTCATACCATGTTATGTAACATTTTATATTCGTCTACTAATCTTATAATTATGTACCCTTTTCCAAAATCTATACACCTTATGTATTATTCTATATACGACATTAATTATTGTGCCACTTGACATTAAACTATTATTAAAATCACAAATATTTTAATTGCATTTCATACTATTATTATTTCATGTATTCACACCTTTGACCTAATTCCCTCACCGGATATAATTTCTTAAAATCCATATATATACGATTGTACAGCTTGATAATAAATTCGTTGAAAAGAGTCTCTTCGCTGAATACTGTGTTCTTAATGCTACAATGGGAATTATTATATTATTTTCAAGTATTGGTTTTGTAGGGATTTTGTTTGATTGCGTGGAGGATTATTGAAAAAATACATACAACAGTCAAAGGAGTCTGTCTCTCCAGTAGCGAATGCTGAAGACTAGTTCGCATATTCGGATTGGAGAATAGAGAAAGGTGCGATAGACAGAGCAAGAGATAGAGTTATGGATTTATAGGTAGATGTGTG